AGCATTCAGAAAGATGCTGTTTATAACTTGGTAAAGGAGGACTGAATAGCACATAGAGGTATTTAGCATTCACACGCACGGCGTAACTGCTGTGTACCATGCGAGGAGGACAAAAAATAATTTCAGAGCTTACCTAACAACCTAGTGGACAATAGACTTGCTTCAATGAATAAAAATCAGCAAATAAAGATAATAGGCATGTTATTTGCCAAAGAAAGGATTTTTTCCTCAAGGATTTAAATACCACTTATTTAATCAGCATATTAGAGAGCCTTCAAAATATGAAGAATAGCACAAACACGTGATGTAATTTAATTTTTGATCCTTCTTCAGATTAATAACACTGGAAAATCTGAATGTATGACACTTTACTGTATTTTATTGGCTAATTTTCTTTTTTATAAGTTTGTGGTGAACTCGTTTGGCAGGAAAATTTGGCCTTAACTGCTGGAGGCTATAGTTTTTATTTATGTCAGTATGTAAATTTGTTTCACTAAAGAAATATTAATATGTTCACTTGCAGGGTACTACCCCAGGCCGCACTGGGCATATTGAGTAATCCGTGGTATGTACATCTGAAAAAAACTCTGAATTCTGAAGGACATTTGTCCCCTGGAATAGAAGTGACAAATGAATTACACAAACAGCACCTTGACTGCTAAGAGGTTAAGAAGGGAGTCACTGGGGTATGTGGCCATCCAAGATTTTCCAGACACTGTGACTCGAGCTGAACCTTGAAGAATATGCAGATTTGGATAGGCAAAGTAGGATGAGGACCCACCTCACAAAGGAAACAGGGTGAACACAGTAACAGACGGGAAGAGGAGAATAGGACCAGGAGACTAAGAGCAGATCTCGTAGGTCCCTCAATACTTGGCTGAAGAGTTTCATGATCTAATGTACAACAGGAAGCCACTGAAGGTTTTTTGAAGTGGGTAAAAATTGAATGAGGGTGGAGTTTAGGAGCTTTGGGCTGCTAATGGTTTGCAAAATGGAGTTGAAGAAGAGAACAGAATTGTTAGGACACTTTTTCTTAAATGGGGAAGGGGTCACACATATGAACCAGCCACACAATGCTAGATGTTTTATATACTTCATATTATTTATTTCATACACCACTTTACATACAAGGAAGGGGATTCTGAGAGGTCAACTATTAATAACTTGCCCCAAGTCACACATAAGTAATAAATAAATAAAGATCAGATTCAAATAGCACTACCCTCTATTACTCATGGCTGCCCTTAGGTGGAAATAATGATGGAGGACTGAACTAGAGTGGAAGCACTCAGAACACGACAGAAAGACTGATGTGAAAAGAGGGCAGCCAGAGGAGAGCTAAGGAGAGGAAGTGTCCAAGAAGACTCTGAGATTTTGAACAATAACAATCCAAAGACTGGGGGAATGGGGAAACTCTTATCCCAATACTTAAAAAAAACAAAACCAGAAAGATAGAAAATGGCTATATCTAATGCTGTGCTTATGCAGGGTACTTCTCAACAGCCAGAAACCACGACCTGTATTCTCCTTACTGAATCCCTTTCTCTTAATTAGAAAACACGTTTATCACAAGGTAAGCGAACACTCTTGATTGATTCAGTAGACTCCACCACCTATCTATTCACCCCCTCTGATCCAGGGCATCCCACTCCGCGCGTGAACATCAAGTCCCACTCAACCATACGTATAATCTATTGAGAGGCTACCCTTTGTTTCTTTTTTTATGTCCAAAGTTTGGAAAAAGCTGTATTATATCCTGACCCACTTTGGAGATTCAAAATATGAAGCACTTTAAAGGCTTCAGGAACTCACGGAGTAAGTTATCAGTTTACATCGTTTAATCCAGTGTTTCCCCTGTTACTTGGAAAGCAGTGATTGAGTTAACTCATGTTTCCATTCTATTTTTCTGTGTTGAAATGCTGAATCTGTTATGAAATCATGAAAGTTTGCTGTTGCCAAGCAAAATCATTTACACCAGCGTATCTGAGCTAAAAAAATTGGCCCTTCTTTGCCACATGTAAATTTATTCTACATTTGGAGAT